CCAAATACGCTTTGGAAACAATGCACACAAACTAACCTCAAAATTTGATTCAGACATGTATTGAATTCGTATACGCGCTACTGACAGAAAATCATATTTCCCTAGATGTTTCATTGTTCCCTTATAAGTTTCAGTGTAAAAAGATTTCAAGTTTATAACAAGTTAAAAACATTTTCAATGGGCCAAAAAAGGCCCTTATGCTACCTCGTCCTTATAGTGAGCATCACTGTATATACAAACGACACGCCGTGATATATATTGTTCAAAGCGGCATTAACTCAAACCTTAGAACCAATATGTCCTGAAAGAAAGGTTGAATAATGATGCTTATTATGAACAAGGTGTTGATTTGCTACCTCTATGCATGGTTTATTTAGGAGTAGACCTACTGTGTTTTCAGCAAAGAGCTATGTTACCTGTAGATTTTACCACGCTAAAATTAACTTTTGAAACCGAACGCGCCGCATTGAAAACACAATGACTAAATAAAACGCGAACTCTTTGGTGTTAGCAAATATACTGAGTGAAGCGGCATGTGTTGAGTCCAGTGTTTTGAGTGTGTTGTCGATCAGAATTACAGAATCACCGACAAGTCTTTAAACAAAAAATGGCGCTGTACATGCTCAAGCTGTTTGTTTACACAGTAATACTTCACTCGAACATATGACAGGCTTTGAAAGCATATAAGCAACTTCGTTAGCTAACGAGGTCGGCACTCTTGAAGAAAACTAAGCAAGCTTTGCAAAGCATTCGTTCTACACCGCACATCACCATCATGACGTCATATCACTCATTGTGACGCAAAAATATGAAGTCACAGTCGAATAAAAGCGCCAAATTCCATGTTCCCTGTTTTCCCCAAAACTTAAAATACATTATCTTTGTAGATTTCTATCGTGTTTTCTGCCCAAAATGGGTTGCCACACAACCGTTGACTATTGTAGTAAACACAACTTTGCATTTTGTAGCCTATAATTGTAGATATACTTATTTAAATATGCCTACCGACGATGACTGAAAAAAGTTCTATGAATATTAGCTTCCGCGGTGATGCGGCCGTCAAATCGGCTGTATTAATCACAGGGGACTTATTGTGATTTGACAACCTCTGATTGACTAATCAGAATCGAGTAATTTCCAAATTCATGGTCGAACTTGCTTTATTTCTTTTAAATATTCATTCCTGGTAGTGTGTGGTGTGACATGAATGTTTGATAATCACCAGCAGACGAGGACTATAACGCACTACTTACGGATGACCTCATTCGTGACCTGCTGATTGGAAGAACTTGAAACCTCCCGAGTTTCTTGAATTATGTACCAAATGATACGAGATTTGATTTGATTGGTGTCTCGATGTATTGGCCCTATGTTTAGACACTACGAAATAAACAGATCGTAGCAGCTGGGCTTTGAGAGACTGAAGCTGTTTGATTATTTATTAGCCTGGACTATATGGACATCGTGTTAATCTTGACGTTGCTCATGTACTGGCTAAGCCCTAGACTTGTTGTCTGCAATTCCCATAGTCCTAATTAGTCCACCTTTGCAAATACATCACTCCAGAAGCAGCGCCGGAGGCAGGAGTGAATCTTGCTTAACGCCGCATCAGTAGACGAAGTGGGGTGAAATGGGTTGATGTCGTGTTTGTGATGTTTCTCCGCGTGGTGTCACATTGAAGGCTATCTCTGTATAAATCTTCAACCACGAAGACATCAGGACTCATTACACACGTGACCCGTGAAGATCCGGGGTAGAAAAAGTCTTCAGCAACCCATGCCTGCCCTAAAAGGCGACTATGTTTGTCGTAAGAGGCGACTAACGGGATCGGATGGTCAGGCTCGCTGACTTGGTTGATGCATGTCATCGATCCCAATTACGTGGATCGATGCTCATGATATTAATCACTGGATTGTCTGGTCCAGACTCGATTATTTACAGAACGCCGTCATATAGCTGGGTGCGGCGTTAAACAATAAACCAACCAACCAACTTATTACACAGAGACAATGTCCGAATTTCAAAAAGGGCACTTTAATACTGAGATCGCGACTGGAGCATTCGTCACCACTCGCCATTTCACACGTTTATTCTTAGTCTTGCAGCAGTACATGTGATGACGTCATTCACTACGTCATAGCGCGAGGTAGCTCAAACTACTAACTGTAACACTACTCACAATAGCAATACACTACAATGTTCAAGATTATGTGCGACCTGCAGAGGGGAATTGTTCTAATTGAACAGTTTTATTAAGAAACTTTATCCACGGTACATTTACAATATTTGTCCGGATGGAACTAATTCAATGATGATCGTTGACACATACATGTGTGTGTGTGTGTGGCTGCTTGTACGTGTACGATCGTATGCCAGTTGTATAGTGATTGGCCCGCGAGATACCATGCATGGATACTTTCTCCTCCCCAATACTGACAGTGAAGCCACATGTTCCCCATCGTGTTTACCGTGTGTTGGTCTCCTCCCCGACACTGACAGTGAAGCCACATGTTCCCCGTTGTGTTTACCATGTGTTGGTCTCCTCCCCCATACTGACAGTGAAGCCACATGTTCCCCATTGTGTTTACCATGTTTTGGTCTCCTCCCCGATACTGACAGTGAAGCCACATGCTCCCCGTTGTGTTTACCATGTGTTGGTCTCCTCCCCGACACTGACAGTGAAGCCACATGCTCCCCGTTGTGTTTACCATGTGTTGGTCTCCTCCCCAATACTGACAGTGAAGCCACATGCTCCCCGTTGTGTTTACCATTTGTTGGTCTCCTCCCCGACACTGACAGTGAAGCCACCTGTCCCCATTGTGTTTACCATTTGTTGGTCTCCTCCCCAATACTGACAGTGAAGCCACATGTTCCCATTGTGTTTACCATGTGTTGGTCTCCTCCCCGACACTGACAGTGAAGCCACATGCTCCCCGTTGTGTTTACCATGTGTTGGTCTCCTCCCCAATACTGACAGTGAAGCCACATGTTCCCATTGTGTTTACCATTTGTTGGTCTCCTCCCCGACACTGACAGTGAAGCCACATGCTCCCCGTTGTGTTTACCATGTGTTGGTCTCCTCCCCAATACTGACAGTGAAGCCACATGTTCCCCATTGTGTTTACCATGTGTTGGTCTCCTCCCCGACACTGACAGTGAAGCCACATGCTCCCCGTTGTGTTTACCATGTGTTGGTCTCCTCCCCAATACTGACAGTGAAGCCACATGTTCCCATTGTGTTTACCATTTGTTGGTCTCCTCCCCGACACTGACAGTGAAGCCACATGCTCCCCGTTGTGTTTACCATGTGTTGGTCTCCTCCCCAATACTGACAGTGAAGCCACATGTTCCCCGTTGTGTTTACCATGTGTTGGTCTCCTCCCCAATACTGACAAGGAAGCCACATGTTCCCCATTGTGTTTACCATGTGTTGATCTCCTCCCCCATACTGACAGTGAAGCCACATGTTCCCCGTTGTGTTTACCATGTGTTGGTCTCCTCCCCAATACTGACAGTGAAGCCACATGCTCCCCATTGTGTTTACCATGTGTTGGTTTCATCCCCAATATTGACAGTAAAGCCACATGTTCCCCACTGTGTTTACCATGTGTTGGTTTCCTCCCCAATATTGACAGTGAAGCCACATGCTCCCCGTTGTGTTTACCATGTGTTGGTCTCCTCCCCAATACTGACAGTGAAGCCACATGTTCCCCGTTGTGTTTACCATGTGTTGGTCTCCTCCCCAATATTGACAGTGAAGCCACATGTTCCCCATTGTGTTTACCATGTGTTGGTCTCCTCCCCAATACTGACAGTGAAGCCACATGTTCCCCGTTGTGTTTACCATGTGTTGGTTTCCTCCCCAATACTGACAGTGAAGCCACATGTTCCCCGTTGTGTTTACCATGTGTTGGTCTCCTCCCCAATACTGACAGTGAAGCCACATGTTCCCATTGTGTTTACCATTTGTTTGTCTCCTCCCCGACACTGACAGTGAAGCCACATGCTCCCCGTTGTGTTTACCATGTGTTGGTCTCCTCCCCGACACTGACAGTGAAGCCACATGTTCCCATTGTGTTTACCATTTGTTGGTCTCCTCCCCGACACTGACAGTGAAGCCACATGTTCCCCGTTGTGTTTACCATGTGTTGGTCTCCTCCCCAATACTGACAGTGAAGCCACATGTTCCCATTGTGTTTACCATTTGTTGGTCTCCTCCCCGACACTGACAGTGAAGCCACATGTTCCCCGTTGTGTTTACCATGTGTTGGTCTCCTCCCCAATACTGACAGTGAAGCCACATGTTCCCCGTTGTGTTTACCATGTGTTGGTCTCCTCCCCGACACTGACAGTGAAGCCACATGTTCCCCGTTGTGTTTACCATGTGTTGGTCTCCTCCCCAATACTGACAGTGAAGCCACATGTTCCGCATTGTGTTTACCATGTGTTGGTCTCCTCCCCAATACTGACAGTGAAGCCACATGCTCCCCGTTGTGTTTACAATGTGTTTGTCACCTCCCCAATACTGACACTAAAGCCACCTGTCCCCATTGTGTTTACCATGTGTTGGTCTCCTCCCCAATACTGACAGTGAAGCCACATGTTCCCCGTTGTGTTTACCATGTGTTGGTCTCCTCCCCGACACTGACAGTGAAGCCACATGTTCCCCATCGTGTTTACCGTGTGTTGGTCTCCTCCCCGACACTGACAGTGAAGCCACATGTTCCCCATTGTGTTTACCATGTGTTGGTCTCCTCCCCAATACTGACAGTGAAGCCACATGTTCCCCATTGTGTTTACCATGTGTTGGTCTCCTCCCCAATACTGACAGTGAAGCCACCTGTCCCCATTGTGTTTACCATGTGTTGGTCTCCTCCCCAATACTGACAGTGAAGCCACCTGTCCCCATTGTGTTTACCATGTGTTGGTCTCCTCCCCAATACTGACAGTGAAGCCACATGCTCCCCGTTGTGTTTACCATGTGTTGGTCTCCTCTCCAGGAAGCAAGTGGGCCAAGACCGACTTGACGTACAGGATCACCATGTTCAGCCGGGAACTGTCCAAGGGGCAAACTGTGATGGAAGTTGACAGAGCGTTAAAGGTAAGTCACGTGTCCCAGGGAAGGTATGACGATGTCAGAGTGTTAGCCCAAAGTGTCCGTTTCTCAGGTAACATCAAACTTTCATACATGCTTCTTTTTAAGTGTTTGCTATATCTCGGTTTCGAACTCAGCTGGCTCCTGTTGTTGTGTCTACAATGTCTCGACGTCGAACTCAGCTAGTTGTCGTAATGTCTACAATGTCTTGGTGTCGAACTCAGCTGGTTGTTGTTGTAATGTCTACAATATAACAGTGTCGAGCTCAGGTGGCTCCTGTTGTTATGTCTACAATGTCTCGATGTCGAACGCAGTTGGTTGCTGTTGTTATGACTACAGTGTCGCTGTGTCGGACTGAGAATGCTGGCGTTTTAATGATAACTTTGTTGTAGCAGTCGTCCTATAGGGGGGCACATTTACAGCTCAGTGGCTATATTACCGACGTGACAGCGTCCGTGGCCTAGTGGACAGAGAGCCTGTCCGGAGACCGGAAGATCGTGGGTTCGATCCACGGCAACGTCATCCCAAAAGACGTTAACAAAATTCAAAAGCTGAAACACTGCCTTTGTGAATATAAATGTAACTCCCGGCGTTAAAAAGGTACCTGTTACCGTTTCTGACGCTGGGCATGACGGGGATAAAACAAGCACTGGTCGGCTCGGAGTCTCTTTCCCCTCACTACGGATTAAATACACATCAAGAGGTCCGAGGACACATTATTCCATCACACAAAGAGCACTGATACAAACAACTTTCCCGACATATTACCCCGTACAGTCTCCAGCAGACTGCTGATTCGCTTCTAGATACCATGCAGATTTAATGATGCTACAGACGAGTATATCGGGCTTCATCTCCTCGGTCTGGTGACCAGCTCCCGTCTTCAACCACGCAATACAATAAATGTCACGTGAAACAGAGATGTTGTTTTACTTTAAAGAGATGAATCAGTTATTGTTATATCAAACTCCATCATACAACTTGAGTTACTAGACGAGATAAGTGTGGTTTAAACGGCCTACTTCAATTATTTGCAGTCCCTATAGTGTACGTCTCGTCCACATCTCTCTTCGAAGCAGGGCGAGTTAAACAAATTACCAGTCCTATTAAATAAAACCAGTTGTTCATAATAAAGCCATTATGTTATCAGACCGCCTCCGTGGTCTAATGGTAGAGCGTCCGCCCGGAGAGCGGAAGGTCCGGGGTTCGATCCCCAGCCGCGTCATACCCAAAGACGTTAAAAAATGGTACTTGTTGTTACCCTGTCTGGCGCTCGGCATTAAGGGACTAAAACAAGGACCGTTCGGCTCGGAGTCAGTATACTGTGTCTGAGTGGGGTATTCATGTTAAACTACGGCATGGTATCTCAGTGTGCTAGCACTATAAATCGGCATCAGTCCAGACTAGTACAAGCAGCCACACACACACACATACACGTGTATGCACGTCGCTATATAAGTGCAATAATCTTGGACGCGACGTTAAACCCCATTTCACCTCACCTCACCATTATGTTATCAACTCTGCCTTTCTGTTTCAGGTGTGGAGCAAAGTGACGCCGCTCCGATTTACAAGACGAAGCCATGGGCCTGCTGATATTGAAGTCAAATTTGTCAGTCGTTCCCATGGTGACGGCAATCCTTTTGATGGGCGGGGCAGAACCCTCGCGCATGCGTTCTTCCCCCAATATGGAGGCGACGCCCATTTTGACCTGGATGAGCCTTGGACCATCTCTGTACCGGATGGTATGTGGAGTGATGACGTTACCTAGAAGTACACAATACATTTAGTGCTTGGAAATGTAATATATGAATTTTGGTGTTATTGAATATATTGATACGCCAAAAGATGCCGAATTAATATCAGCGGATTCTCAGGTTATGTAATACCGGTATCAATTTTCTGCATAAACATCGGTATATATTCAGTTAGATGTATTGGTTCCTCAAAACGACGGGAACACGAACTTTTAGAAAACAGGAAATACAAGACAGCTGAAATGACCTCTAAACGGTTATCTCCCCTTTATTTCAGGAATCAACCTCTTCCAGGTGGCGGCACATGAGTTTGGCCACTCGTTGGGTCTCGCACACTCTGACGTCAGTACCGCTTTAATGGCTCCATTCTATCGGGGCTACCAGAGATCATTTAGCCTGGACCCCGACGACGTGGCTGCAATACAGGAGCTGTACGGTAAGTCAAGTGTCCGCTTTATACAAGTTTAGGGTACCCGCAACAAAGTGGAAGCGACCACAAACACACACACACTTTTCAACACCCAATCATACACCTATAACTGTATTTCAGGTCCCGGCAACGGAGTGAAACCATTCCCCCAGCGACCACGCCCCCAAACACCCTCATTCCACACCCAATCATACACCTATAACTGTGTTTCAGATCCCGGCAACGAAGTGAAACAATTCCCCCAGGGACCACGCCCTCCAAACACCCTCATCCCACACCCAATCATACACATATAACTGTGTCTCAGGTCCCCGCAATGAAGTGAAACCCATCCCTGAGCGACCACGCCCCCAAACACCCTCATCCCACACCCAATCATACACATATAACTGTGTCTCAGGTCTCCGCAACGAAGTGAAACCCATCCCCGAGAGGCCACGCCCCCACACAGACCCTTATTGCACACCCATTCAGACTCATAAAAATGTGTTTCAGGTCCCCGCAACGAAGTGAAGCCCATCCCCGAGAGGCCACGCCCCCACACACACCCTCATTCCACACCCAATCAGACATACAAATGTGTTTCAGGTCCCCGCAACGAAGTGAAACCATTCCCCCAGGGACCACGCCCCCACACACTTACACTCATTCCATACCCAATCAGACACGTACAAATATGTTTCAGGTCCCCGCAACGAAGTGAAGCCCATCCCCGAGAGGCCACGCCCCAACACACACCGTCATTCCATACCCAATCAGACATACAAATGTGTTTCAGGTCCCCGCAACGAAGTGAAGCCCATCCCCGAGAGGCCACGCCCCAACACACACCGTCATTCCATACCCAATCAGACATACAAATGTGTTTCAGGTCCCCGCAACGAAGTGAAGCCCATCCCCGAACAGCCACGCCCCACCGAGGGTCCAAAGATCACCATTCCCAGTATATGTCGAGATCCATCCATCGACGCCATTACACAAAACGCGGACGGTTTTACGTACGTTTTTAAAGGTAAGAGACTTTGATTTTGAGCTCACTTATGATCTTTTAATGGCATGGTCGTTTTCTGTCAGCGAAATCTATAATAAATTACCGGCGTTGACCTGAGGGAACATTTCTCCTCAGCAATGTATGCGTATTCGGGACTCGTAACCACAATGGTTATTTACTCCAGACGCATTTGGTTATTTATGCCAGACATATCTTTCTGGAGCAAACACATCTCTTTATCTGGCGTGAATAAGACTCCATTAAGAGATAAGTACTTACTATGCAATTGTCAGACCAAGTACAGTTGATAACAACACCATAAAGTGACATCACTGCTTTACATTTATTAGGGGCGTCGGGTAGCCTAGTGGTTAAAGCGTTAGCTCGTCACGCCGAAGACCCGGGTTCGATTCCCGACATGGGTACAATGTGTGAAGCCCATTTCTGGTGTCCCCCGTCGTGATGTTGCTGAAATATTGCTAAAAGCGGCGTAAAACCATACTCACTCACTTCATATATTAATCCGCTCTCCGAACTCTGAGTAAGGCTACTATGGGTTGAACGTGTTTCTGACCATGTATGACCATGCTTGTCTCAGAGTAGGGCTACTATTGGTTAAACGGTATCTAACTATGTTTGACCATGCTTGTTCCAGGGCGGTACTACTACCGGTTGAACGGTATCTAACTATGTTTGACCATGCTTGTTCCAGGGCGGTACTACTACCGGTTGAACGGGAAGGGGATTGAGCCCGGGTTCCCCAGGGAAATCTCCTGGGACTGGGTGGAGGTGTCAGGGCCAATAGATGCCGCCCTACACTGGGACAATGGCTACACCTTTCTCTTTAAGGTGAGAAGAAATACGTGATATTCTCGACTCTTTGTATTTACCAAGACGTTTTGGTGACGACATTTGGCCACACCCACGTACATACTAACAGGATGTAGATGAAGTCCTGGGACAGAGGAGGGCAGCAGCTGAAGCCGGAATTATGAGTTCGAGTCTTGAGCAGGCAAACCAAAAATAGTCTTTGTCATGCTCGGACCAATGTTTCAACCCTCGCATGCTTGATTTAGATCATTCAAAACCTCTCTTTGATTGCTGACTCAAATTATATGATGCATTTCATTTTAGCAGTTAATGATTAATCTTATTACACAGGACCCGTGAAGATCAGGGGTAGAATTATAGGTCTTCAGCAACCCATGCTTGCCATAAAAGGCGACTATGCTTGTCGTAAAAGGCGACTAACGGGATCGGGTGGTCAGGCGCGTTGACTTGGTTGATGCATGTCATCGATCCCAATTGCGTGAATCGATGCTCATGAGGTCAATAACTGGATTGTCTGGTCCAGACTCGATTATTTACAGACCGCCGTCATATAGCTGGAATATTGCTGAGTGCGGCGTAAAACAACAAACCAACCAACCAACTTATTACACAGAGACAATGTCCGAATTTCAAAAAGGGCACTTTAATACTGAGATCGCGACTGGAGCATTCGTCACCACTCGCCCCTTTCCGTAACCTGCAAAAAGACTCGTCCCCGTATCGATTAATGTCATGTGCGAAAAAGACTAACCAGAAGCAGAATGCGGTCAAAGAATCCCTCAGGAATATTTTTTTTATGTTACATATATCTGCATTTAAAAACATAGCCAAGATACAGTTAAAGGTGTTCAATCATCCTGTATAATACTGTGAGTCCCGATGTGTTCTCAATAGCATCGGGGGAATAGACGCGACCATTACGCAACGAGTTGACAATTCTTTTAGCTATGCCCGTTTGCCCTTAGACGAAACTCAGTCGAAAAGGAATGGCCACGAGAGGGACACGAGTCGCTATTCGGCTTGTCCCGGAATAACTCGAGTTGGTTCCGAATGCGACTTGAGATGGACGCTTCACCATGGAGCATGGCCCTCTACTGATCTCCATCAAAAGAGACACAAAGTCGCCATTGTGGCCATCCGAGACTCATCATAAAGTGGACCCTGTAATACTTTTTTGACAAAGTTTAGAACACGTCGTAAAATAGCAATAGTGAGTGAGTGAGTTGGGTTTAACGCCGCTTTTAACAGTATTACAGTCATATCGCGGCGTGTCAACTTAATGTGGGAGGAAAGCCCGAAGTGATGCAGGTCTCAGACGTTTACCACTTCGGTGAAACCCACGAACACGGGTATGGTGCTGACAAACCTAGAAACATAATCGGGGCGAACCGGGATTCGAACCCACAATCATAGGTTTCTGGCGTGCCCAAGGGACGCAACTCTGCACAGCAAATCGCGGCGCCTAAGACGACTGGGCCACCCGTGCCCCCTTAAAATAGCAATTACATTTATCTAACAATGATTCGTATTTCCGGATAGTTTCAATTGGAATGAGTGTGTGAGTTGGGTTTAACGCCGCTTTGAACAATATTCCGGTTATATCACGGCGTGTCATCTCAATGTGGTAGAAAAGCCGGACGTGATGCAGGTCTCAAGAGTTTGCCACTTTGGTGAAACTCACGAGGACGGGCATAGTGCTGACAAACAAACAAAAATTATCGGGGCAAACCGAGATTCGAACCCGTGATCATATGTTTCTGGCGTGCCAAAGGGACACAACTCTGCAGAGCGATTGCTGTGCCTTAGACGACTGGGCCACCCATTTTTATTACTAGAATGGTATGATCCTGATTGAGGAGGCGTTACTGGAATCATTATGTTAGCCAAGAGCTCCCTATCTATACTATATGCTCGACTTGTGTCGACACATTGGGATTTATAATACTCGCATTCTGCGCCATAGTCAGCGGCCAAAAACACATTTTTTCGACACTGAAAAATGTCAGTGGAATGCTGATTGAGATCTAAGAGTTCTCGGGATTACTTTCCGCTACATTTCACAGTTGGCCGCGGGACCTTCTGCGTAACAGGAAGAGTCATCAGCATTTACCGGACGCCATTGTGTTGTATATAGATTATCCCCACTTTAATAATAGATTCACCGAACTGTGAAGCATGGCCAATGGCCCAAGCTCAATAGAGGGCGCCACTGAGACGCGTCGTCATGGCAACCAGAACGTCAGGTCCCGCTAACTCTGGCGTCTGACGTCACTCTGTCAGATTACCACAGTAACTGTTACGTATTTGCGGATATGTTTTTCAGTTATTACTCGCGTGAGGTGTTTAACTCGCCAGCCGCCTCTGAAACCCTCTCGCACCTCGCCGCTCAGTAGAAGGAGATACTTTCACACTGACTCCAAGTGAAGAGATCGATAGTCCTACACTAGCCAGACTCTACACACTGCTTGCGCTGATGACGCAGTGCAGAGCTCAAGGGTCTCCAACCACCGATTTGCACACATTTGGGAGGTCAAGTTTCTGCAAGTTAGATAAATTGAATTCCTTTAGTGAATCGTCCAGGGACGTCAATAGCTAAGTTAGATGCAATTTGCTGCGGCTGAAGAAGGTCGGTTGTCGGAGAGGACGACCAGAACCCAATGCATGGTCGCTGAAGAGAGACCCAGCCGTAACCGAGTAAGGAAATCAGTATGGACCCCCCAACACCCTCCCCCCCCCCCCCCCCCCCAACATTCCCACCGCCACACAAACAACTCACAACCATTGCATGCGCATCATTTATATCACGGCATGTCTTTTTGCCTATGCCCGTTTGCGCTCAGACGGAACCCAGTCGAAAAAATGGCCATGAGAGGGGCACGAGTCGCTATTCGGCTTGTGCCGGAATAACACGAGTTGGTCACGAATGCGACTGGAGATGGATGCTTCACCGCGGAGTATGGTGGCTCTCGAAGATTCAGACAGTGGTCCTGAGAGTTGTCCTATCTGTCCAACTGATCGCCATCCAAAGTAACACAAAGTAGCCATTGTGGCCATCCGAGGCTCATCCGGACCCCGTGATACTGATGGACAAAGTTTAGAACACGTCTTAAAATAGCAAGGCCATTAATTTAACAAAGATTCTTACTTCCGAGTGGTTTCAATTGGAGTGAGTGAGTGATTGAGTTGAGTTTAGCGACGCTTTGAACACTATTCCAGTTGTATCACGGTGTGTCAGTTTAATGTAGGAGGGAAGCCCGAAGTGATGCGGGTCTTAGACGTTTACCACTTTGGTGAAACCCACAAGCATTGGTATGGTGTCAAACCTAGAAACATAATCAGGGAGAACCAAGATTCTAACCCATGATCATAGGTTTCTGTTGTGCGCAAGGGACGCAGCTCAGCCAACTGTGGCGCCTAACACATACGGGGACTTCCGTGGCCAAGGTGTTTGAATAGCACGTTCTGTATTTAAGTTCGTGTTTAAGATGGGTTACCGTATGTGATGGCAGGAATCAATGCAATGTATGTTCATGTAACACCTACCAACGCTTGTCATCCTTATAACAAGTTGTAAACTCAAGGAAGACGCTAAATGGGAGATTTACTGCGATGTGTACCTGTGAAGATCAGGGTTAGAATAGGTCTTCACAACCCATGCTTCCCATAAAAGGCGACTGTGGTTAAGATAAGAGGCGACTTACGGGATCGGGTGGTCAGGCTCGCTGACTCGGTTGATGCATGTCATCGTATCCCAAATGCGTGGATCGATGCTCAGGATGTCAACCACTGGATTGTCTGGTCCAGACTCGATTAATAACAGACCGCCGTCATATAGCTGGACTATTGCTGCGTGCGGCGTTAAGCAACAAACAAACAAATTCGTTGTGTCGTCTTTCAGTCGGTGTACGTGCTGATGTTGGCGTCTTGTGTGTGGGGTTGACTTGCTGTACGTTTGGGCGTGGCAGTGTCGTGGTATTTGAAAGAAAACTTATTTTAACTTCCGACATTATTGCCATGTCTTTCAGGGGAAACCTACTGCAAGTCCGACATTATTGTCTTTCAGAGGAACCCCTGCATAAGTTAAACATTATTGTCATGTCTTTTAGAGGAAACTTACTTATAAGTTCGACAGTATTGCCATGTCTTCGAGAGGAAACTTACTATAGGTTCGACAGTATTTCCATGTATTGCAGAGGAACCTCAGCATAACTTCGACAATATTGCCATGCCTTTCAGAGGAAACTTACTATAAGTTCGACAGTATTTCCGTGTGTTTCAGAGGAACCTCAGCTTAAGTTCGACAATATCGCCATGCCTTTTAGAGGAAACTTACTATAAGTTCGACAGTATTGCCATGTGTTTCAGGGGAACCTCAGCATAAGTTCAACAATATTGCCATGCCTTTTAGAGGAAACTTACTATAAGTTCGACAGTATTTCCATGTGTTTCAGAGGAACCTCAGCTTAAGTTCGACAATATTGCCATGCCTTTAGAAGAAACTTGCTGTAAGCTCTAGCATTGCTGTCTTATCTTTCAGGGGGAGACGTACTGGAAGTTCTACAATTTTCGCCTGGTTTACAGAAGGAAGATCACGGAGGGTTTCCGCGGCGTCCCCGACCACATCGACGCCGCCTTTGTCTGGAGCGGCAACGGCAAGACATACTTCGTGAAAGGTCGGTGAAGTCTCACGGGAGGCATTAGTACGCACATGTCTTTATGTACGGTCATAAATGCACACAAAGCGGATTGCAAGGCAGCAGAGTGAGTGGGTTTGTTCTTGCCTCTATATAAATGTGCCAGCTGTATTAACAGCGGAAGACACACATTGTACCCCATGGGGAACTCCTACCTTCGACGAGACGAGCGAAAGTTATCCACCCGGCTACTCCAGTGCTCTGTCATATAACCGGACCAATATGTCCAAAGTATCTTGTGAGATTCATTTCATGGTTCATCCTCGACCGGTTCACATATATATCAGTTGGCCTTCATTACGTTGGGAATCGAACCCGACCCGTGAAGATTCCGGGGTAGAATAGGTCTTCAGCAACCCATGCCTGCCGTAAAAGGTGACTCTGCTTGTCGTAAAAGGCGACTAACGGGATCCGGTGGTCAGGCTCACTGACTTGGTTGATGCATGTCATCGATCCCAATTGCGATTATTTACAGACCGCCGTCACATAGCTGGAATATTGCTGAGTGTGGCGTTAAACAACGAAGCAAAGGCAAAGGGAATCGAACCCGGGTAAATGACATGACGAATCGACGCTTAAACTGTTCGTATACCCTACCGACCTCATTCGGCGTGAACCAACCAACCAACAATCTTAAATAAACATGTTTATATTACTTAATTCCGTGAATGAATCTCTGATGAAAGGAAATATTTCATGAAGAGGTGAATGTCCTTAGCTGCATGAGTTGAAGTTAACGTAACGATTTTTGTTAGTGACGCCCATCTGACCCCTTTAGGTAATTTGGACGTCTAATGACGTTCCTGCGATTGTGAATTTTTTTTTTAATGAAATCTGAAATTGAATGTGGTTATTTTTTGTCAAATTTATCGTCTCGATACACACTCTGAAAGTTAGGGGCGGTCGGGTAGCCTAGTGGTTAAAGCGTTCGCTCGTCACGCCGAAGACCCGGGTTCGATTCCCGACATGGGTACAATGTGTGAAGCGCATTTCTGGTGTCCCCCGCCGTGTGATATTGCTGGAATATTGCTAAAAGCGGCGTAAAACCATACTCACTCACTCACTCTGAAAGTTAAATTTGGGCAACAGTGCAACAAATACGGGTCCGGGGTTATAAGCCGCTGTCTGGCTCACTCACACTCATTCACAATGCGTCCTAGCTTCCGGTCATCACAATGTAGATGTTCCCCCTCAGTATCTGAACATGTCTTGAGTGAGTGAGTGAGTGAGTGAGTTTGGTTTTACGCCGTTTATTCCAGTAAAATGCGGGGCACAAAAAATATCTTCACAATTTTTATCCATGTGGGGATCGATCCCGGGATTTCGGCGTGACAAGTCAACACAGTGACCAATAGTCCTACCCACCGCATCATCTAATTAAGTACATTTGATTAAAACCTCACTGCGGGACTATGCTCCAAGATATCGCGCCTGTTTCAATTGTAAGTGGTAACCTGTGTTAAAGGGACATATTGACATATCTGTCATCCTCAACTGTTAAATTGCTATAGATCACATAATAGGGTTAAGAAATGGTGTTTCAACGACTTGAATCAGATTCATCAATAGAGCCAAGCCTCCCTTTAAAGAAGTCAATTTGAAACTCGAATTAATTAATAACAATCTTAACCGTACTACCTGATGTTAAGCTAAGACGGATATGTACATAGGGGCCAACCATTTGGTAATCGGGTGGGGGTGGGGGTAGGAGTGGGTGGGGGTGTCTCCATCCTTTTTTTTATCAGCAACAGCTGCAAAAACAGATATTCTTTTTATTAAAATAACGAGCCTAAATATATTTTATGAAAAACACCTTGCAAAATTTGTGGCAGGCAAAAAAATTTGTTCAACAATCTGAAGCGTAATTATACTTTTCAAGACTTTTCGCAGACAATTTTGTTGAAATGTATTTCAAGGGCCACCAGAATATCAAGTGGTAGGTGACGTCATCAACAGACCGTGCATCAACACTAACAGATCACCTATCAAAACGTGTACCAAACGTCAACCAATAGCAACGTCAGCAACGAGAAGTCGTATCAAGGTCAAAATCAGAATCACAAGGTCGACTGAAAAGGCTTCATACAGTGTACAACCAAATTAATGTCTATATTGATAGGCAACGGAACGATGATATCTCCATGCGTGAATAATTATCTAATTAAGAATCCTATGAGAATGTTCAAAGCCAGCGTCCCAATTTAATTATTTCCATCATATGGTAGCAATTAGAGTCTGTACTGTGTACCAACTGATCTAGCCCCAACCCATAATACACTGCTCCAGAGATGGGGGCTCATTATTGAATTACAGGGATGCTTTTATCGGCGTCGATGACGTTGGACGGTGGTCACAAGCGGAGTAAACGATGGCTTGACACTGTCAAGTACCTATACTGTAAATATAGTTGTTTAATTCGATATGAAAGCTTCGATATTAGATTTGGTCAGTGGAAATGTGGTATCAGTCTGATTGTTTACGTCGACCAATCAGCCGACGGTATGTGGAGATAGTGAAGCTGGCGGGTGTTGTTTGATCTGGTAGCTCGCGACTGCGGGTCAGCTGACCGTCAGTGGGTATAGCGAATGTGACGGGAGATTGATCACCGTTGGCGTAGTTGAGAGAGACAGTTCAACGCATGGAGTAAGCCTACTAGCAACATATACAGTCAAACACCGTTGTCTCGAACTTTAATGTGTCAAACGTACGGTTGTCTCGAAGTAAATCTTGGTCGCTGCGTATTCCTTTTAAGTCATCATTTTCGGTTGTGCCGAACCACGGATAACTCGAAGTATTAACCTAGTGCCCTTCAACTTCGACACAACAGTGTTTCACTATAGTAGTGTTGTTGTTTAACGCCACATCCAGCAGTGTTCTAGCTATAAGACGGCGGACTGTAAATAATGGAGTTTAGACCAGACAACTTTAATGATTGATATTATGAGCCACGATCAAAGCCGTCGGGGTACGTTGACACGCATCAATCAATTCACCGAGCCTGACCAACCGATCCATCACGTCGCCATTTACGACCAGCATAGTTTGCTATGTGGCTGTTCATTCCGGTATTCCCCATGAGATTCCAATTTTTGTCGCCTCATGCATAGGTGCTGCAGACACCCAACCCCCACCCCCCTTCCTGGGGGCAGTCTAGTGGTTAAAGCGTTCCCTAGTCACGCGACAGTGTGGGAATCAATGGGAGCTAACTGACGCTGACGTGACAGTGATGACGTGACAGTGAAACAATGAGAGAGACATTGTTATGATAGTATGTGACAGTGTAGCCGTTAATTTGGACATTTTGATAATCAACGTGACAGTTTTGACGTTGACGTGACAATACATACATTGACGTAATAGTGTATTAGTGGTATTGAGTAGACGTTGACGTGACAGCTTTAGCGTCAGCGTGACAGTAGAGCCGGCGGTGTCGTGACAGTGCAGACATCAACGGTTGATAGCAGACGTCATGATATTTAAAATAGTAACGTGACTGTGCAGACATTAACGGTTGATAGCAGACGCCATGATATTTAAAATGGTAACGTGACAACGTGCAGAAAGAGACATGGCCACTGACGTTAAATGTCCACGTTCGCGTGACAAAGATGGCGGTGATGTTACGCTCAGGAAGCAACGTAACAGTGTAACCGTCAACGGGGGAAAGTAGACAAAGTTGTAACACATGAACGTTGACGCGAAAATGTATGTGAAGTTTACGATATATTTCAAGCGTCAACGTTACTATATAGACATTGAGGACGCTGTGTAGGCGTCGAGATGACAATGAAGGCGTTTGGTTGTAGAACTTATTTAAGTCTCTGTGAATGTGAGATTGCTTCTTGCCTGCATCTGGCTTATCCCACTTTCTGTCTGTGACTTAGGGGACAAGTACTGGCGTTACTCGGACAACCGGGTGGACTCAACCTACCCCAAGCCGATGTCTGTGTGGCGGGGGATACCCCCGGGAGCTGAAGCAGCGTTCAAGTGGAAGAATGGTCGCACTTACTTCTTCACTGGAAGCAAATACTATCGTTTCCATGACAGCAATTTTAGGGTAAGTCGTTTGTCGTAAGATTTAGGTGGAACGGTCACCAGTCGTTATTATATACAGGTTAAGAGAAGCAGTACGTGACACACTTTACCACGGCGGGAGTTTCGATGTAGTCGGATTTAGGAAGTCCATGGCAGTTGACAAGTCTTCAGTATTTTCAGTATATAATACTGTTTACCGTGATGTAACTGTAATACTGTTTACTAAAGCCGTTGTATAATTGTAATAATGTTTATTAGGGCCGAGATATAACTGTTTACTACGACCGTTATATAACTGTAATTCTGTTTACTACAGCCGCCGTATAACTGTAGTACTGTTTATAAGATTCGAGATATATCTAATACTGTTTATTTGAGCCGTGATATAACTGTAATACTGTTTATTTGAGACCTGATATAACTGTAAGATTGTTTACTAGGGCCGTGATATAAATGTAATACTGTTTACTCGAGTCGTGGTATAACTCTAATATTGTTTAGTAGAAGCGATATATAAATACTGAATACTGTTTAGTAGAGCCGATTTACAACTATTATATTATTACTAGAGTCAGTGAGTGAGCGAATATGGTTTTACGCCGCTTTTAGCAATATTCCAGCAATATCACGGCGGGGGACACCAGAAATGGGCTTCACACATTGTACCCATGTCGGGAATCGAACCCGGGTCTTCGGCGTGACGAGCAAACGCTTTAACCACTAGGCTACCCGACCGTCCCTATTGTTACTAGAGCCGCGATATAACTGAAATACTGTTTACTAGAGTCATGACATAGTACTGGTGTTTACTATTTGGTGAAGACCTACATCATGTAACCTAGTGTCCAATTAAGCCATAACGATCCTACAACAGCCATTGTGGACACCAAATCCTCAAATGAGAAACACTGACGATCATAATATTTCTATATTAATGTTTGTGTCCCTGCAGGCTGATGACGGTTACCCCAGAGACGTGGGCAGCTGGTGGCTAGGGTGCCCGGATCCGCCCCAGATTGACCTCTTCAGTCAGCTCAACGACACCAATACCCTCAGAGGACGAAACACGGGGAACCTTCGTAACGAGGCTGAGGAGAAAGGTGAAGGGTTTCTGTCCGTGCTCGATCCGCCGAATGGTGTGAACAGCGCCACTGTGATAGGACTCAATAGTATTGGAGGCCTCCTCGTGTGTTTGTGTGTGTTTCTACAAAGCCGGTGCAGTTGATGACGTCAAGGACGGGGCAATAGGTTATAACTAGACGTATAACAACAGTGAATTTTGAAAATCATTCCACGGACGAGAGTGCACGTCATCTTGGAGGAGGTTCCGTCACGGGCATCACGTGACATGGTCACGTGAGCTAATGACAGCACAAGCTATGGTGTTGGAAAGTATGACTGCTTTGGTAAAAGTGTTTTTACAATTACTACTCACAAGTCTTTGGCATTTTGCATACCATCAACCACGAGAAAATCCGGGCTCGAACTCAGCTCTAGGGCTACTGGGCTAGTTTTAAGTTCGATCCCTGAAATCATTGATCTCGCTACGATCTCCGCCATTTGAAATACACCTTCACTTCCGGTCTCGTGGATGTTGCTGTCACTCTGTAAATATCATGGACTAGATCGATCATCACGTGATTTCACAGTAGTCTTTCATGAAACTTCACTATTGCTATACATTGTGGAGTCTTGTAGACAGTAGCGCGGTCGCCACATGGTCGTGTATCACAGTACCAAGGAAGCGATTTGGTTGAATGACGTCAGTTCTTCTGATAAAGGACACGTGATGTGCTATAAGAGAGAGACTTTGGCGCTAAGAGAATGGCTGTAGGGCTTCGGTATCTGCAGATGCTATATGGGACTCACGTATAGACAAGAAGACCATTTATGTCAACTATGGTCAGCTGTGACCGAACTGGGAAAACCGCCATATCAGCGACCTTTTTTTGGACCATCTTGACGAAGGAACGATCTGTACCGCCATATAAAGCGATCTTTTGTTGGACCATCTTGACGGAGGGCCGATCTGTATCGCCATATAAAGCGATCTCTTGTTGGACCATCTTGACGGAGGAACGATCTGTACCGCCTTATAAAGCGACCTTTTGTTGGACCATCTTGCCGGAGGAACGATCTGTACCGCCATAACAAGGGACCTTTTGTTGGACCATCTTGACGAAGGGCCGATCTGTACCGCCATATAAAGCGACCTTTTTGATGGACCATCTTGACGAAGGGCCCATTTGTACCGCCATATAAAGCGACCTTTTGTTGGACCATCTTGACGTCTTCGTGGAGCGAACGATCAGTAACGCCATATATAGTGACGTCTTATTGGAATTATCTTGACGACGTTCCGTTGGAAACGTGTGCGATACGACGACATATGTTCTGAGTACATGAATCATTTTCCGTGTTGTTGTAAACGCGGACATGCGCACTTGGAGGACATTTAATGCCACTGACAAAAGACTGACGTGTATAGACTTGCATGTACATTTTCATCTTTGATATATTTTACATTTTGTTTAGCTATATATTAAATCATCTTATTATTACAAAACCCTCTCGTTCTCAACACTGTATTCCCTATCTGCATAAAGCTATGTCCTAAACCAAACTTACAACAATAGGGAGGAACGCCAGAGGACGAGACTGATTTCTATGTTGCTGTGGAAACCACATTACTGACTAGGGTGATATGTTAAGAGACTTGGCCAACCGATCCACTGAACGATCTTAGTGAGTGAGTGAATTGAGTTCAACGCCTCTTAACAATACCATAGTCAGCGTTATGTGGGTGGAAAGCCCAAACTGACGTAAGGCGTAGACACTTTTAGTATACCACTTTTGTGAAACCCACGAGCATGGTTGAGGCGTGAACCACCTTAACGTTACGGCTGTGTAAAGATATAGGCGTGACATTAACGCTACGATCGTTTGTAGATCGGAGTATCCTTTACAGTAAGGGGCCATTAGTCTTCGGTTAGAATCTCTGATTCGTCCCGAGTATGATCCCTGGTGTGTCGACACCGTATACGTTGTCCTGAGGACAAGTGTAGCATAAACCTTATGTCACTTGTCCTCAGAGTTTGAAGCTAGTTCTGCGTGAACGCGACAAAACTGTTCACTGTGTTTAATTTTTCTGTCAGTTTTATTTAGTAGCAAAATTGAAGCTTTGAGAACTGGCTCAGAATTTTGGCATTCAAATGCAAAAAAAATCAATGAGGAATACCATAATTGGTTTTCACTTGTCCTCAGCACAATTTAGTGGCATCGGGCTTGCAGACTAGCGGGAATTTAAAAGGCTTCAGGTTCTCGCAGGTTTCACTAAAGTGACAAACGCCCACGACACTAAACAGGATAGCGACATACAGTCATATAGAAGGAACTGTTCAAATAGACGCTAAACGTCACGCCTATACAAGTACGTCATCAACAATTAAACAATACATGTACATATATATGAATTATATAACGACATTATATTAAGTACACTGTTACTCCTAGATAGTATAGTGAGAGACCCATTTGAAGCAGTACTACTACAAGGCTCTCTACCTTACCTGCCTTTATTCAATCATCCTACTGAATTGTGTTTTAGGTGCACGATGTACTGCTGCTGGTCACGTGGTCACTTCATGTCCTCATGTTATAAAAGTGTCTTACTTGTGTGTGTACAAACTAATATTACATGTTGCTGCCCAATACACTAACGAAGTCTTTTCACTGAAAACATTCAATTAATAACAGATCAAGCAAAGAGCGATCTCAATACTTTCGAGTTAAACTGTGGAAAGGTTAAGGAGTGAGCTAAGCTAGTATAAGATAGCTCTGATTACAACACGATCACTGCGCTACGAACCGTCGTAAGTCTTTGCTGAACTGTGTAAGTTACGATGTGCGTATCAATAAGATTCCGAAAGCAATCGTAACCTTAACCTGTCGTAACTCCTTTCACTTGGCGTAGACTTACGACAGTCGTTGCGCAACGACGTGTATAGGACTGGGCTCTGTCTTTATGATTGACATTAAGATTATCTTCGATTTAAGCAACGATGTTAAGCTCAGTTCCAACGTCTTCTTAACGCTGTCGTAACTCTTACTTAAACACATCTTTACGACGACGCTGATACCTCACTGCGGTACGGAGAAATGATACATGTTCCATTGAGCCTGTCCTGAAGCTGAGACAACTGTTATGCTAAGTTACGCTCTACGAGCTCATCGCAACTAACGGAAAAATAGAACGGGCCCAAACAATGATAGATCACGTGACCGATGGGTACAGGTGCACCCAGAACTGCGAGTTTCAAGGCCAGATTGTCTTGTTATCTCGCTAGCGTCAGCACTCAGGAAATAGCTGCTTGTACATACACATCGTCCATCTAGTTTCCAGTATTTATGTCATCGTTCATATTTCCCGCGTGCTGGCGCGCGAGAACTATTTTTATACGTCGTGAATGTAATAAACTTTCTAGCCAACCTTTTCGTGTTTGTTGTCAATCCAGGAACTTCCAATCTCTAAATTACTAAGTGTTTCTCCCTGTCTTAGTGTCTCTTTTCAACTATACTGAACAGAAACTATCAGGGATCATTTTTTTTAAGGGAATATTTTTTGTAGTGAAGACTGAGCACACACCTTCAGGAAATATATCCACGATATATTCACGATCCCGAAGGGCGGTCGGGTAGCCTAGTGGTTAAAGCGTTCGCTCGTCACGCCGAAGACCCGGGTTCGATTCCCGACATGGGTACAATGTGTGAAGCCCATTTCTGGTGTCCTCCGCCGTGATATTGCTGGAATATTGCTAAAAGCGGCGTAAAACCATACTCACTCACTCACGATCCCGAATCTGTTTGGTTCCGTTTGGTTCGGGGAATGAGCAGATGAGTCATCTGGTATCCGACGGCAATATGACAAGATTAGTAAATATGTATTGGGTGGCGAAATATATTTTACATTATTTTTTTTATGAACCTGTATTGTGGGTGATTGGATAACGTTCAATCTCCCGTCTCGTCTGTGTTGGCGAGAAAGACCGTGGAGTCTCCAGTCACATCTGTGTCGGAGAAATGGGTGTGAGGTCACATCTGTGTTCCGTTTATAGATCTCCCGTCACATCTGTGTTGGAGTAATGGGTCTGAGGTCACGTCTGTGTTCCGTTTATAGATCTCCCGTCACATCTGTGTTGGAGTAATGGGTCTGAGGTCACGTCTGTGTTCGGGTAAAAGATCTCCCGTCACATCTATGTTGGAGCTAATGGGTCTCCCGTCACATCTGTGTTAGAGAAATGGGTCTCCAGTCACATTTGCGTTGGAGTAATGGGTCTCCAGTCTCATCTGAGTTGGAGTAATAGATTTCCCGTCACATCTGTGTTGGACTACTGGGTCTGAGGTCACATCTGTGTTCGGGTAATAGATCTCCCGTCACATCTATGTTTGAGTAATGGGTCTCCAGTCTCATCTGTGTTGGAGTAATAGATTTCCCGTCACATCTGTGTTGGACTACTGGGTCTGAGGTCACATCTCTGTTCGGGTAATAGATCTCCCGTCACATCTATGTTTGAGTAATGGGTCTCCAGTCTCATCTGTGTTGGAGTAATAGATCTCCCGTAACATCTGAGTTAGAGTAATAGATCTCCCGTCACATCTGTGTTAGAGTACTGGGTCTGAGGTCACATCTGTGTTCGGGTAATAGATCTCCCGTCACATCTATGTTGGAGTAATGGGTATCCAGTCACATCTGTATTGGAGTAATAGATCTCCCGTCACATCTGTGTTGGAGTATTCGGTCTCCCGTCACATCTTTGTTGGAGTAATGAGTCTGAGGTCACACCAGTGTTCGAGTAATGGATATTGCTGCACATCTGTGTTCGAGTAATGAGTCCCCCGTCACACATCTGTTGGAGTGAATGAGTATGGCATTATGCCGCTTTTAGCAATATTCCAGCAATATCACGGCGGTGTACACCGGAAATGGGCTTCACACATTGTACGAGCGAACGCTTTGACCACTAGGCTACCCCACAGCCCTACTTATGTTCGAGAGACCGCCTCCGTGGTCTAGTGGTAGAGCGTCCTCCCGGAGAGCGGAAGGTCCGGGGCTCGATCACCGGCCGCGTCATACCAAAAGACGTTATAAGATGGTATTTTTTGTTACCCTGTCTGGCGCTCGGCATTAAGGGGATAAAACAAGGACTGGTCGGCTCGGAGTAAACAGTGTTTGAGTGGGGTATTCATGTTAAACTGCGGCATTGTGACTCAGTGAGCTAGCACTATAAATCGGCATCAGTCCAAACAGCCACACAAACACATACACGTGCATGCACGTCGCTAATAACGTATGCAATAATCTTGGACGCGACGTTAAACCCAATTTCACCTCACCTCGCCAACGTATGCTCGAGTAATGTCCCTCGCCATACGTGTGTTCAAGTAATGGGTCTCCCGTCACACAAGTGTTCGAGTCATGGGTCTCCCGTCACACATATTATTTGTTTGTTGTTTAACGCCGCGGTCTGTAAACAATCCACTCTGGACCAGACAATCCAGTGATTGACATCATGGGCAACGATCTACGCAATTGGGATACGATGACATGCATCGACCAAGTCAGCGAGCCTGACCACCCGATCCCGTTAGTCGCCTCTTACGACAAGCATGGGTTGCTGAAGACCTATTCTAACCCGGAATCCTCACGGAAACCCCGTCACACGCGTGTTCGAATAATCGGCCTCCCGACACATGTGTTCGAGTAATGGCCGGGCCCCCGTCAAATCTGTGCTGGAGTAATGGGTCCCCCGCCACACCTGTGTTCGAGTGAGAGACAATGGGGTCCCCTATGTCACACCTGTGTTCGGACGATCGAGCGAGTTAATGCTATGTACCGTTATCATGGTTGATTTGTGTGTCAACGTTCTCCGACTTTGTCGGTCGATGCTCACAAAAGTCTACCTGTGGTTGACCTGGTCTAGGTTTATTTATACATTCCAGACCGCGTTGACCTAGCTGAACCAGTTTTCTGCGGCATGAGCGCCGATTCCTCCAAAGCTGCCAGTCCTGTCGGGATTCCAGGGAATATTATGACCGCGGGAACCCATCAGCCGACTAAAACTGGAATAGGGTGGTTTTAATGTGCGATCTAGCTGAATCTGTGCCAACGATGTGGATCGTTGCTTTCCCTGTCAATCACTTGCGTACCTGGCTCCTACTTCGTTATTAACAAGCGTCAGTTATAGAGATGGAATATTGTCGGCTGTCATTCCCCTCATCGTTGCTTTCCCTGTCAATCACTGGCGTACCTAACTCCTACTTCGTTATTAACAAGCGTCAGTTATAGAGATGGAATATTGTCGGCTGTCATTCCCCTCATCGTTGCTTTCACTGTCAATCACTGGCGTACCTGCCTACCACTTCGTTATTAACAAGCGTCAGTAATAGAGATGGAATACTGCCGGCTGTGATTCCCCACATCGTTTCTTTCACTGTCAATCACTGGCGTACCTGCCTACCACTTCGTTATTAACAAGCGTCAGTAATAGAGATGGAATACTGCCGGCTGTGATTCCCCACATCGTTGCTTTCACTGTCAATCACTGGCGTACCTGCCTACCACTTCGTTATTAACAAGCGTCAGTTATAGAGATCGAATATTGTCAGCTGTGATTCTCCTCGTCGTTGCTTTCCCTGTCAATCACTGGCGTACCTGCCTACCACTTCGTTATTAACAAGCGTCAGTTATAGAGATGGAATATTGTCGGCTGTGATTCCCCTCATCGTTGCTTCCACTGTCAATCACTGGCGTACCTGCCTACCACTTCGTTATTAACAAGCGTCAGTTATAGAGATGGAATATTGTCGGCTGTCATTCCCCTCATCGTTGTTTTCCCTATCAATCACTGGCGTACCTGCCTACCACTTCGTTATTATCAAGCGTCAGTTATAGAGATGGAATATTGCCGGCTGTCATTCCCCTCATCGTTGCTTCCCCTGTCAATCACTGGCGTACCTGCCTACCACTTCGTTATTAACAAGCGTCAGTTATAGAGATGGAATATTGTCGGCTGTCATTCCCCTCATCGTTGCTTTCCCTATCAATCACTGGCGTACCTGCCTACCACTTCGTTATCAACAAGCGTCAGTTATAGAGATGGGATATTGAAGGCTGTCATTCCCCTCATCGTTGCTTTCCCTATCAATCACTGGCGTACCTGCCTACCACTTCGTTATTAACAAGCGTCAGTTATAGAGATGGAATATTGTCGGCTGTCATTCCCCTCATCGTTGCTTTCCCTATCAATCACTGGCGTACCTGCCTACCACTTCGTTATTAACAAGCGTCAGTTATAGAGATCGAATATTGTCGGCTGTGATTCTCCTCGTCGTTGCTTTCCCTATCAATCACTGGCGTACCTGCCTACCACTTCGTTATTAACAAGCGTCAGTTATAGAGATGGAATATTGTCGGCTGTGATTCCCCTCATCGTTGCTTCCACTGTCAATCACTGGCGTACCTGCCTACCACTTCGTTATTAACAAGCGTCAGTTATAGAGATGGAATATTGTCGGCTGTCATTCCCCTCATCGTTGCTTTCCCTATCAATCACTGGCGTACCTGCCTACCACTTCGTTATTAACAAGCGTCAGTTATAGAGATGGAATATTGCCGGCTGTCATTCCCCTCATCGTTGCTTCCCCTGTCAATCACTGGCGTACCTGCCTACCACTTCGTTATTAACAAGCGTCAGTTATAGAGATGGAATATTGTCGGCTGTCATTCCCCTCATCGTTGCTTTCCCTATCAATCACTGGCGTACCTGCCTACCACTTCGTTATCAACAAGCGTCAGTTATAGAGATGGGATATTGAAGGCTGTCATTCCCCTCATCGTTGCTTTCCCTATCAATCACTGGCGTACCTGCCTACCACTTCGTTATTAACAAGCGTCAGTTATAGAGATGGAATATTGTCGGCTGTCATTCCCCTCATCGTTGCTTTCCCTATCAATCACTGGCGTACCTGGCTCCTACTTCGTTATTAACAGGCGTCAGTTATAGAGATGGAATATTGCCGGCTGTGATTCCCCACATCGTTGCTTTCACTGTCAATCACTGGCGTACCTGCCTACCACTTCGTTATTAACAAGCGTCAGTTATAGAGATGGAATATTGC